TCCTCCTCCTCCCCCTCCTCCTCTTCCTCCTCCTCCCCCTCCTCCTCCTCCTTCCTCCTCCTCCCCCTCCTCCTCTTCCTCCTCCTCCCCCCTCCTCCTCCTCCTCCCCTTCTTCTTCTTTTATCTCTCTCTCTCTCTCTCTCTCTCTCTCTCTCTCTCTCCTTTTCTTTCCAGGAATTGAAAGAATTCCTGGGGCTCTTAACCACTGAGCCACATCCTCAGTCCTTTTTATTTTTTATTTTGAGATAGTGCCTTGCTAAGTTGCTGTGGGCCTTGCTAAGTTGCTGAGGTTGGCTTGAATCTGTGATTCCCATCTCAGCCTCCCGAGTCATTGGGATCACAGACAAGCACTATCATGCCTGTCTAATCCCATTTCTAATAGATACCCAGAAAAATAATAAAATACCTAGGAAATCATAAGAAAGTGAAAGAACTCTACAATGAAAACTTGAAATGTTGGTGAGTAAGACTGAAGAGGACAGACACACACACACACACACACATAAAATGGAAAAACATTCAAGTTCATGAATTGGAATAATCACTGTTAAGATGTCCTCCACACCCAAAGCAATCTACAAATTTAATGTAATCCATATCAGAATATCAGTAGAGTCTAGTTTTGCAGAACTAGAAAAACAATCCTATAATTTGTATGGAACCAAAAGAAACCCTGAATAGCCAAAGCCATCCTAAGCAAAAAGAACAAAGCAGGAAGCATTGCACTACTTGACTTCAAAAAAGATATAGTAATCAAAACAGCATGATATTGGCATAAAAACAGACACATAGATCAATGTAATATGTAGAATGCCTAGAAGTCAGACCACACATCTACAGTCAACTGGTCTTCAACAAGGTGCTAAGACCCTTTGGAGAAATAACAGTCTCTTGCACAAATGATGCTGGAAAAATTGGAAATCCTCATACAAAAAAATGGAACTCTTACCATATTAAAAAATCTATAAAAATGGGCTAAAGAATTAAATGTAACATCTGAAACTATGAAATTACTAGAAAAAACGAGTTTCCTCACTGGCAAGACACTTCAGGACATTGGAATGGGCAAGGGTGGTTTTGTTTATGTTTCCAAGAAGACCCCAAAAGCATGAAGAAAAAGCAAAAATAGACAAAATAGGGATTATGGCATTATGTCAAACTAAAAAGTTTCTGCATTACAAATACAGTAATCAACAGAGTTAAGAGACAACCTAGGATGGGAGAAAATGTTTGTAGTTTGTTTATATATCTGAGAAGCCATTAATGTCCAGAATATATAAGAATTCAAACAACCCAGTAACTAACAAACAAAAACTACAATCTGATGGAAAAATGCACAAAAGACCTAAATAAACTTCTCTCTCTCTCTACTCCTCACCAGAAATCAGATTCACAGGTGCTTAAGCACTGAGCTATATTCCTAACTCTTCTAAAAATGTTTTATTTTGAGACAGGGTATCAGTGTTTTGGGCCTTGCTGAAGAAGTTGCTGAAGTTGGTCTTGAACTTGCAATCCTCCTGTCTCAGCCTCCCTAGGATTACAGGTGTGCACCAGCCTGCCTGGCTCTAAATAAACAGTTCTCAAGAAAGACAGAGAAATAACCAATGTGTAGGCGAAAAAATACTTAGCATCATAATCATCAGGGAAATACAAATTAAAACTACAAGAGACATCATTTCACTCCAGTAATAGTAGTTATTATCCAAAAGCAAAAGTCACAAGTGTGGTAAGGATGTAGAGAAAAGGGAACTCTTGCACACCTACGGTGGGAATGTAAACTAGTATAACCATTATGGAAAACAACATGGAGGTGCCTCAAAAAACAAAAAATAGAACTATCATATAACCCAGCAATACCACCACTGTGGTATATATCCAAAGAAAATGAAATCAGTCTGTCAAAGAGACATTTGCACACTCATGTTCACTGAAACACTATTTACAATAGCCAGGATTTCCTAAATGTCCATCAACTGATGAATGGATTAAAGAAAATGTGATTAAATATACAAAATGTAATACTATTCAGCCATTTGTGACAAATGGATGGAAGTGGAGATCATTATGTTAAGTCAAATAAGTCATGTATAGAAAGACATATACCACATGATCTCATTCACATGTAGAATCTAAAAAGATTATCTCATAAAAGTTGAGAGTAGAATAGCAGTTAGCAGAGGCTAGGAAGAGTATTAGGGAGGGAGAGATGGGGAAAGGTTGGTCAATGAATACTAAGTTATAATTAGATAAGAGAAATATGTTCTGGTGTACTATAAAAATTAGAGTGGGTATAGATGACAATAATGTACTGTATTATTTCAAAAAATCTGGAAGAATTTTGAATGTTTTCACTATAAAGAAATGATAAATATTTAAGGAGACAGATGCGCTTATCCTGATTTGAATATTACTCATTGTACACATTTATTGAAGCATTAAATGGTACCCCCTAAGTATGTACAATTTTGATGTGTCAATTTAAAAATAAAGCATATTCACTAAAAAAAAAAAGGTAGGGTAACCAACTGTCTAAATTTGTCCTAGATTGTCCCCATATTAACACTGAAAGTTCCATATCTCAGGAAACCCCCAAATCCTGGGCAAACCAAAGTATCTATTTACCCTTTAAGACCCAAATATAAGAGTAGATTATGATCTCTTAATTTGCACATTAATAAGACTGTGAATTTGGGCCCTAGTATTTGTGGGAAAAAAGACAAAATTTTTTCATAAGTAAACAACTAGCCCTGTTTGGGAGGATGTCAATTCTGCTATCTCATTAAGATAAGAACTCCCAAAGTGGCTTTCAAAATAAAAATAGTTACATAATTAACTTCCATGCTGAAACCACTAATAAAACACTGCCAAATTTTAGCTAAGCATGTGACAATAAATATATTACATCTGCAAAGATGTTGCATTTTACACATTCATATGCACATACACATGCATGCCCAAGATTTTAAATTTTGGCTAACCATACTTTTGCTTTTATTACAACTTCCTTCATTGATAATAAAATACAATTTATTTGTTGTTACAGAGTTTTTAAAGTAATTGATGTGGTTTGCTGAAAGGACCATACTATATTATTTATTTTAAAAATATGTTTAATGAAGACTTTTTAAAAGCTTTCCTGCATTAAATATAAACTTTTAGAATGAACATCACTTATGACACAAAGAGGACCCATCAGATGGCTTCTGTTTTTTAAGGTTTTTTAATAATAAATGGAGTACATTTATTTATTATAAGGCTATATTCATAATAAGACTGCTCATGAGTCACAAATCAAAATAATTTCCACTATGGTTATATAGGTGAAAAAGTAAAAACACTTAATAAATAACTCCTGGATTAAGGGGAAAATCAAGTGCAAATTTTAAAGCATGTAAAGATGAATGGACAGAAACATTACTATACAAAATATGTGGGTTATAGTCAATATGCTTCTCAGAAGGAAACCAATGTCTTAAATATATGTATTAGAAAATGAGACTTTGAAAATATTCATCAAATTTTCAAATAAAAATTTAATCCCCAGTCCAAAAACTAATCAAATGAAAATAAATGAATACAAAATAAAGAGAAAATGAAAAAAAAAAGTAATTGTAGAAAATGATACTATATAAAATGGTAGAATAGACAGCTGGACTTGAAAAGGTCTTCTTTTTACTCAAGCATCTCAGCTGTCCAGTCTCTGACTTGGAAGCCCACCCCCTCAACAAAGGAATATAAGTTTTAGAGAGTCAAGTAGAGAAAGAAAGAAGAAAGTTAGAAATTCATGTTTATACCCATGCATGGAGGACTGCATAGGCGAAAATCATAACTAGCATTTATTAATATCCATGTATCAAGCATTATGTTAGGCAGGTTATTTCAATCCTCTGGTTTCACTATATATCTTCCTCATTTATTGATGAAAATATTGAAACACACAAGGTGGTTTAGTAATGTCCGCAAGATCATCAGACCATTATTAAAGGAGTTGGAACTCTAGATGTTGTATTAGTTGGAGTTTAGTTTACCATACGTTGTTAGTTTTGGGTTTTCAAAACATCTTATTTAGAAAATTCATATGTGTCTGGGAAGGACATAGAACTATCATTGATTCACATTTCGGAGTGAAATGTTTCAAACAGATTGCTTCTCTTTCAACACCTAGTTAAGGTTAGCTGTATTGGAAGAATGGGGGTTTTGAAATAGTTAGAGAGAAAGGAATAATGCATTAGGAGTGGCGCTACATTAGGCCTTAGATCTGGGGGAGATAGAAAGCAAAATTCAGAAAGGGAAGTGAGATGATGTCGAAGATAAATTCTATTTCAAAATTCTGTCTATAGTCAGCCCCACCCTCAAGAAGAGACAGTTTCTTCCTCTTTCTTTCTCCTACACAAAGTAGTTCCCTATTCCTAGAACCAAGAATTTTGGGTTTAAGGGTTGTCACTCATCCTGATCACTGCAAGGCTCCTGTACCCTGATATGTAGCCCTCCAAACTACTTCTAACCATCTTTGCAGCTGCCTCACAGGATAGCCTATGTCCATTTGAACTCGAGCTCTTTGAAAGTCCTTCCTATCACAGGCAAAAATCTTGTCTCCCTTCAACTTCCCCTCATTGGTCCTACTTCTGCCCTCTGAAATTACCCTGTCCGTGTGGTATTTGTTCAAATGGAATTTGATCAGTCCTGTACTGTTGTTTTTGGCTGATTTGTTAAGTTGATTAGGTCCCTCTATAAACTCAATATTTTGAATGAAAGCCAATAAATGCTGGCAAAATGTTCTAGCATTTTTTTCCCAGAAATATTTTGTTGTTGCTCTGCTTTTTTTCTTAGATTTTTGTAAAAGAATGTTCCTGACAGACTTATTTTGTGGGAATAGATTCATATACAAAGCCATAGGGCAACCCACATGAAACATTCACATAAGAAACAATAAATCCAACAAATGTTGGTCCATACTGCTTGAAAGTTACTTCAGTTCTTTCACAGTGTAATAAATAGATACTTAGGAGGAGATCATCTAGATAGTTAAACAACATGTTCTATCTCACTTCAAGAAGTAGAAATTAAAATGCCTTTTTTTTCTTCCATTCATGTAGCTACAAAACAAGCAACATTCATAATAATATTCAGTGTTTGTAATAATTCCACACATTACCAGTGGAATTAAGGGTTTTGTTTTGTGGTACTAGAGATTGATCCCAGGGCTTTGCACATGTTAGCCAAGTGCTCTACCACCAAGTTACATCCCCAGCCATTTGCATTTAATTTTTTATTTTTATTAAATTGCCCAGATTGCCCTCAAACTTATGATTCTCTTGCTTCAGCCTGAAATTAACGGGACTATGCTACTCAGACCAACAGAACTAAAGTCTTTTATTTTAACACAATCAATTTAGATGTATTTATCAAGATATTTTAAAAATATTTATATCCTTTTGCACAGTAGAATCTTCTGGGAATTTTTACTAAGAAAATAACCCAAAGATTAAAAAAAGTATCACTGAAGATAGTGCTGCATTATAGGAAAGTTATTTGTAATTCTGAAATATTGGTCACACTCTAAAGTCCATAGGAAATAATTGATTAGATTATGGTACATCTATTCAGTTGAAGATTATGCAGCCATTCTAAATAGTGATTATGAAAAAATTATGACAGATAGTGACATTACAGTAGATAACCCTAGCGGAAATGTTGAGTTTCACTAGTTTGTAACCACATGAAAAATCATATAATATATAAAAAATGATGTGTACAAAGAAATGATCAGAATTATTGTTATGATAGAAAGAAGTATTTCCTTATTAATCAAGATATAAATCTGGTACCTCATTTTTAATCCAAAAGTGCTATATTTAAATTAATTTTTCTCTGTCCTATTCCCAAAACTCTAGTAACTAACCCTGACTATCAGGAATACAAAAGTAATCTTGTAATCTTGTTGGGGGACTTATAATTATGAAACCCCTTTTCCAAAAATAATCATCCCAGGGATAAGTCCAATCTCTGATTTCTTCCTGTTCTGTCCTCTAACTGGAGAGAGACTATAGAAAAAAAAGAGCTTTTCTTGAAGCATAGTTTTGAAGGATCTACAATATGCTATTTAGAAATCCCCCTCATCTGTTCTCTAGGATATCCTGTTTATCCTAGCTCTGAGATTGGGAAGGAAAACATCTAATGTCACTAGTTCAAATCAAATAGAGGAAAAAAGGAAGAGACTGTTACAGAGTATAACACTCTAGGCTCTGACACCCAGAGGAGAATTCAGTTTAGGGCTATGTCACTAAATCTCTTATCAAGGCAGATTGCTCAGTTAAGTATTCCCCATGTCAGCTATTTTTATTTGGCTCTTACAGCTTTAGAATTTTCTTACATCTTTGTTGATTCCTTTACTTCACTCTCTCCCCCAATTTCATTACAGAAGCTTATCTAATGTTTACATTTGTCTGTTTTCTTGATATTAGCAAGAAACCCTGGCTACTAGAATGTGCTTGCTTGTCTGAACTTCCCATTGCATATCATAGGATTGAAAATTAATATAAGTATATAACTCTACCAGTTAGTTTTCACACATATGTATGACAATGAACAAAAGGGAACTATACAATATATTAGTCAGCTATTGTTATGCTACCGCTATTGTAACAAACAACTCACAAACTCAATGGTTTATGAAAACAAGCATTTTATTTTTTTTGTTCAGGGTCTGTGGACCAACCAGGGGGTACCCATTTGCTTCTGTTGCAGGACAGCTAGGCTTGTATCAGTGTTTCAGATTGCTATCAGTTCTGCTTCACATGCTCTGCTTTACAATCCCATTAGCTACCTGAAACACATTCTTCTCCCAATTGAACATCAAACACAAGAGGCCCAGTCAAACTACTTATTTAAGGCCTGTATCTGTGTTTGCTATTATTTATTCATCGACCAAAGCAAGTCATATACATGATCTTTCCTAGCATAAATGGTGTAGAAAAATAATTCCCATGTAAAGTTCACATGACAGAGGAAGGAGGTGAAGGATTGAGAACAGTAATCTATGAACACTGGCATATGTGGACAATATGCTAGTATATTAATTCAAGTAATTCAAGAGAAATACCCACTGGCTTGCAGAATAAGTAACATTATTCCATGTGTAAACAATATCCTGTTTTTTCAAATAGACTAGTGAAAACTTAATATAATATAGTTCAATTACCATATATATTATATATATTTACCATATATTTGAATTATTATTATGGTAATAGTTCAATTACCATATATATCATGATACTTTAATGAAATTGCTAGTTTTGACTATGCTGGGTATCTAGTCAAGTAGAAATTGTAGGTGAAATTTTGATTTTGGATTTTGACTTTAGGTTACCCATCCCCACATACCCACTCCTATACTCACAGACTTGTTTTTTAGGGGTGTGTAACCAGGGAGTAAGATGTACCCTGAAAGGAAATCACTTGATAGAAACCACTATTTGGTAAGAAAAGGTGACTCAAGAAAAGTAGTTCCTTGTGGTTTTAAATTTTATTATGTTATGAGTCTCTACAAAAATAAGCCTTCTTAAAAAAAAAAAAGCTGGTTTAAAGGCAAAAGTTTTTAACTAGAGGTTCTGTTTTCAATTTTTCAAAATGAGAACACTTCTCTGGAAATTTTTTATTTCTTTGTTTTGGTATAAAAAACAAAAGCAAGAGATAAATAAAGTCTAGGTTCAAGATAGAGTCATTCACATTGAAACAAGAACTTTAAACTCTTAAGAAATAAGAAGAGTTCATAAATCAAGGGGAGAAGAGCAAGTGATAGGTTCAAGGAAAACTGTTAGGAAATTTTATCTGATTTTTAAATTAATGGAGGAACATATTTTTGTTCCTCAAAATTCAGTTTAAAATTTGGATATAAATAAGAGATCAGGGAATTATCAATGTCAGGCAATGATGTCAGGGTCATTTCAATTTTGGAAAATTTATCTAGCTTAGCCTAAATGGATAGATGGGGACACTGAAAGATGAGAGCTTGGCATTTGTGTTCTAGCTTAGGGGACTTACTTCTGAAAAGTAACTTTTGGTTTGAAATACAGTACCTAGATGTCTTTTCCAAAGAAAAAGTAAATTCACATTCCGATTAACTAGCAATTATCCCGAAAGAATGAATGAAAGCACAATTTTTCAGCCTTATCATTTCATGGTCTTCTATATTCAATCAACTGAGGCCAGGTCCCTTACCCAAAAGAGCTTTTTTCCTTGAATAGACAAAATAACTTATAACCATTATTGTTATAATAAAAAGGGTAATTAAGCAAGTCATAGAAATCATTTTTACAATAAAAAACGACTGTAGCAGATTTAATTAAGTCTTTGGAAAATGCATAAAAGTCAAATTTATGGTATTCAACATGAATAAAACATGAATAAAATGAAAAAATATCTTAATACCGTCTCAACAGATTTATTATCAGAACTTTACATTTTCAAAATACCTATATATCCATCATATAGCTATGTATCACTTAACGATGGGGCATGTTCTGAGAAATGCATTGTTAGGCAATTTTGATCTTCCAACATCATAGAAAGTACTTATACAAGGCCGGGCGCCATCGTGTATGCCTATAATCCCAGCAGCTGGGGAGGCTGAGACAGGAGGATCACAAGTTCGAAGCCAGCCTCAGCTACAGCAAGGCACTAAGCAACTCAGTGAGACCCTTTCTCTAAACAAAATACAAAATAGGGCTGTGGATATGGCTCAGTGGTCAAATGCCTCTGAATTCAATCCCTGGTACCAAAAAAAAAAAAAAAAAAAAAAAACGTACTTACACAAATTAAGACGGCTGTGTGAGTACCCAAAATCGAATGGGACTACTATCATACAGGCTTCACTCTTGAAAGCATTATGCAATAGTGCATGACTGTTCTATTTTACATTATTTCATAAAGTGAGTCAGGCATTTTCATGTATATTTTAAAGATATTCCTAACAGAAGGTTACATTTGTGAATGAAATCACACAACTACTTAATATCTATGATATAATTAGACTGTGAAGCTCTTGAGGGTGAAACCCTCTGAAAGTACAAAGAAAATGTGCTTCAAGTAATTTAACCAAATTAAAATAATTTAATTATGGGACAATAGTGTTCATTTTGTTTTTAATGTGAAGTTTCATTTAAAAACTTGGATTCATTGTTTAGCTAGAAAGCTATATTCCACTGATTAGTAAAAAACTGAAAAAAACCTATTTGTTTTTGTACCATAGAAATGGCAGAAAGTTTTAAAGTTGTACATTGCATTTTTTTTTATCAAATTAATATGTGCCATTATAAATAACTTGAAAAAATATTCCAAAATGTCAAGGTCAATTGTGTTTTTCCTTTCAGGATTTTTTTTTTTTAACACATAGGTTGTTTTTTTTTTCTAATATTTTATTATGAAAATTGTCTAGTATGTGGAAAAATGAAATATCTGCACAGTGAATTCAGGTATGCTCACCACCTAGTTCTATAATTAGCAATTAATTTGCTTCATCACATGCTTATCCAATCATCTATTGATCTCTCTCTCCATCTGGATTTTTAGGCATTTCAAGGTGAAGTTGTAGATATTATTATACTCCATCTAGTACTTGAGCATGCATATCATTAATTAGAATTCAATGTTTGTATATGGATTTTGGAGGAGTTAAGATTTTACATACAGTGAATGCACAATTTTAACCCATTATGTCCCTGTACCTCATAGGTAAGAAACCCTTAAAAACTTAAATTGAGCAACAAGTAATAAATAATGAATAACTTAGTACAGTGTGAAGAGTTTCAATTGTTTTTACTGTCACTGACATTTGGTGTTGCAAAGTCTTCTTATTTCAGCCATCCTGATGTGTTTATAGCAATATCTCATTGACTAATGGTTTTGAACATTTATTTATGTGTTTAGGGCACCTGAACATTTATGGTGTATGTGTATTCTCCTTTATGCAATTTTGGTTTAAAATTTTTCCCTCTTTTTTAATTTTTTTTTCTTTTTGAAGATGGGTTCTCATTTCTTACTGTGTTGCCCAAGGTGGTCTTAGACTCATAGGCTCAAGGAATCCTCCTGCCTGGCCTCCCAAGTAGCTGGAACTATAGACATATGCCACCATACACAGTAGCTCTTTGTTTGTGGAGTGTATGTCTTGCACTGGATGTGCCCATAGTCTCTTAATTTTCCTGTATACTAGGGAGCTTTAAAAATCCCTACTACATATCTCCTCTCCCAATCTTTTTCTTTCCAGTCTTATTTTCTGTCCAAAGTGTTAGTCCTTGCCCTTGCCACTGTGATCAATATGTATGTCTTTAATGCTTTCAAAAAGAGCTACCCAGGAAGCTACCCCAGCTCTGGGCACACTCTGAGTCATATGAAACAAAATGAATCCTTTGCGCAGGTCTTTAAGGGAAATGTCAAGAGTTCAAAACTCAAATTTATGGTGTTTTGAGAATAAAATTTGCCTTGTTCCCCCTGGTCCTGGCAACCTGCTCCAGGAGTGTGATCCTCCTGGCCACTGCTGCTCAGGGTGTGGGGGATGGGAGGTAGGCAATTTAGCAGATTGCAGTGTTCTTAAGCACAAAGTAGATTCTTCTCCAGATCTCCTCCTGCTTGTTCTTAGTCTGTTTGTGTGTGTGTGTGTGTGTGTATGCGTGTGTGTGTGTGTGTGTGTGTGTATGTGTGTGGTGCTGGGGATTGAACTCAGGGCCTTGTGAATATGAGGCACTCTACCAACTGAGCTATATCCCTAGCCCTTGTCCTGAGTTTTTAACTAGATGATTACAGAAAAAGTTCAATTCCACAAAAATTGAATTTGACACGTTTAGATAGCTCATTCGTTGTTTTTGCAGAGGGACAGAGACCTATATTTCTCTACTTTGCCATTTTCTGTCGATGTCATGTATTTTAGTGAACATAATTTTGGTTGTTAACATTCTACCCATTGCGGTACCATAATTTATTACTTATGCACTGTTGAGAAATGTTGAGTTTGTTTCTAATTTTAAAAAACACTTTAGATGAACATTTTTATACTTAAAAACTTTTACCGTTCTATTGGATTCTTTCTTTAGCATACATTTACAGAAATGTAGTTACTCAAAAACAACAGAAACAAACAATGTAGTTAGTCTATTTTGAAGTTAATTTTTTTAAAAATTTTAAAATTTTATTTTGTTGTTGGAGGTAGACCCAAAGCCTCACACATGCCAGGCAAACACCTTACTAGTGAGCCACATCCCCAGCCCACCATTTTAAGATTCTTGAATATATTACCAAGTTATTGAAAGAATTATTCTAAATTATACCCCAACTTCATAAGTAATCTTAAACTTTGAATTTTCCTGAAAAGGTTCTGTTACTGGCAAAAGGTCTTATGAGAAGTAATGTATATTTTAACGTCCTTGAAATGTTTTTATAAAAGTGCTTCTCAAATTGCAGTGCTGGTAAAAATTAACCCAGGATCTTGTTGAAAGATCATCTGGAGTAGAGCCTAAGACCCTGATATTGCTGGATAAGTCATTCTGATACTGTTGGACTCCAGATCACACAGGGAGTAGCAAAGCTTGAGTATTCAACTATAGTGGAGAAGGGAGTGGGAAAACTTGCATGAGTCAAAAAAAAAAAAAAAAAAAGCTAAGCATGGTGGGACATGCCTGTAATTCTAGCTACTCAAGAGGGTAGAGCAAGAAGATCACATGTTCTAGGCCAGCCTCAGCAATTTAGGAAATAAAATTAGAAAATAAAAAGGGTTGGGGATGTAGCTCAGTGGTAGAGCTAGGTCCAGAGTTCAATCCCAAGTATTGCAAAGAAAAAAAAATGTTTGAAGAATATTACTTTAAAAAGTAATATTCTGGGGTTGTGGCTCAGTGGTAGAGCGCTTACCTAGCATGTGTGAGGCACTGGGTTTGATCCTAAGTACCACATAAAAATAAATAAGCAAAATAAAGATATTGTTTCCATCCACAACTAAAAATATTTCAAAAAATGTTCTAAAGAAAATAATCTCCCAGAGTTTTTAAAATTAGGTCAAAGATCAGGAAAAGAATTCAAGTTTGTTTTGATATTATTAATGAAGGCCAAAAAAAGGAAGTAAAAATGGAGATACTGCCTGCGGTTATGACTTTAAAAACTCAGTGTGAGGTATGCGTTAAGTCTTAAAGTCTGATAGGTTAAGTCTTAAAGTCTGATAGCTATCGAAACTGATTACGATAATCTTTTATCTAGACAAGGAACATTTTCATCATTCAAATAGTTGAGGATAATTCTTCAAAGTAGTAGCTGCACCTTGGTTTGAGAGACAAAAACTATTTACATAATGGGAACATGGTGGACAAGCCGGCAGCAGAAGCTTTCCTGAAATCTTACTACCTTTTGTATTTCCATCTCTACTATTTCCAGGTCACACTCAACTTCAATGATCCTTCAAAGAATTGCCCACTGGGACAGACATTGTCTTCTGCTTGCCCTTACACAGTACTTGTCCCTGATGCCAATCCAATAATGAGGACACAGTTTTGAGAAAAACAAAAAACAAAACAAAACAAAACAAAAAATGGTTTAGAGCTTTGCTAGCAAAGGAGAAACATAGGGGACTCCTGTCCAAGAGGCTGTGATTCTGCCCATCAGCAGAAGCAGGGGGCTTTTAAAGAGATGATTCAAAGGCTACATTCCATATGTTCTCTGTTGAAGTTGTAATTTACTTGTTAATCTGGGAGATTATCATTTCTGACACCTTCTGTTACAGAGAAACTGACGTGACTCCATTTTCGAGAAACCAGCTTCTACCTTAAGACCTGTCCAGAGGGAGGAGGCTTGAGTCTTGTCCTTGGAAAAACCCACAGAATGCTTCTAGGCACATACCCACCCTGCTGAATTGTTTAGCCAGAGGGATCTGCAGCGCCAGGTGTCCCTGACTCAGTTAAGCTAGGTGAGAACCCATAGCAACCACCAATCAGCATGAGACAGGGAAAATATCTGAAATGCCAGGTGACCCTCCCAGTAGTTTCAATGATTGATAACATGATTAGGCAACCCTGCAGTTTAGGTTATACACTCTTGCAACACCTTGTGGCCTAAACCCATCAGTTCAAATGTATTCACCTCTTGAACTCACCAATCACCCTTATCACCCTTATCCAACTTATTCCCGCCAATGAATGTGCTAATCAATGTTAAGAGTTGTTGTTTGATTTTCCTGCAGTATGAAATGATTTGCTGTGTGATATTGTGATGCATAGATTATCCCCCCAAAACCTATAAATCCTCACTGAACTAAGGGTTGGGGGACTCACTCCTCAGGACCGCTGCATCGGAAACAGTTGTGAGTCCAGGCTCCAGCTTGCAATAAAGACCCTTGTATGATTGCATCTATTGGGGTCCCACGAATCTGGCATTACATTACTATCCCCAAAGTCTGGTTTGCTGGGTTCTATGCTGTATGTGTACTCAAGGATGGATAACTCTGCCTAGGATGGGGAAGAAAGGTAATCCTGTTTCCCTTGGGATTAGGGAGGGGGAGAGATGAGGGAGAAAGATTAAGGAGGAGCAGGGAGAGAGGAAGAGAAAGAAACATGTCTATTTTAAAACTAAGTTGCAGTGGCAGAGCAGCAAGGGTTATATTCAAAGCCTAAAGGAGACCACCTCCATATCTTCATTTCCTTATTTACCTATTTTAAATTCCATGATCAACTATTGTACAGTTTGAACTTGCCTAATCTGAAAACTCAAAATCCAAAATGCTCCAAAATCTGAAAATTTGCATATATTCTAAAACCCACAAAAATCTAAAATCTGTAACACTTCTGGTCCCAAACATTTTGGATAAGGGATACAAATAACCTGTATCTGTTATTT